AGAAGAGACAGGGTCTGCCTGTTGTAATGCCAGTATTTGACAGAAACACCTGCAGCATCCCCAAGTCTCAAATTTCCTTCATTGATTATTTTATAACAGATATGTTCGATGCGTGGGATGGTAAGTACTTCAGCTTTTTTCTTCCTTGCTCTGAGGCAGAGATTTCTACAGACTAAAATGAATAGCCTTAAGCTGGACTTGAGTCCATTTTTTCCAGGGACAGTACCTGTATGTAAGCAGTACAGCACAGGATCTAAACAACGACGCTGCTGAAGCCCATTTCACTGCAAACACCACCAGCTTTGTGAAAGTTGAGCACTTACTAGACAATCTATATAAAGAAGTAAGGAGTAATGGCTTAAAACTAAGCTTTTTTTCATCTAGGTCTTTTTTTCCTTTAGCAATGTATTTCTTCTGAGCAGCAGAAACTGAGACCACAGTGGTTGCGTGTTAGCATAATTTAATAAAGTCGTCATACGTTAAGAAAGGGGTTCACTTGAAAGAGAAACAGACTGAAAAAAAATCTTTCCCCTTCTAGCATTAACTTACAGCTGAAGGAACAAAAGAGAGTAGGAGAATGCCAGTTTCAGGTGAGGCTGGGCTGTTCTTCCGCCCCTTCTGCGTACGTAGTACAACTGTTCCTCCTGTTCATTTCAGCATTTGCACATCTGCCTGTTTTGATGCAACACTTGGCTAATAACTACAAACACTGGAAAACACTGGATGAGTTAAAGTGCAAGAGTCTCAGGCTTCCATCGGAAAACAACAACTGACACTAAGGCAAGAAAAACAGACCTCTCGATCTACCAGTTTCACTGTGAATCACTTACTAACTTGGCTGCAAGAGGGATGGTGTTTGCTTTCCAGTGAAATTAAGACTGCGTGGCAAGAAGGAAAGATTTTATTCATCACTTTTAAGCTTTTCTGAATCCTACAGAAAAAATGTTTTCAGAAAGGCCACGTAATACACAGATGAGTAAGTGCTCTTTGGAAATAACATTTTGTGGCAGAAAATGTGCTTCTGAAACTAATTTCTAATACTGAATATGCATTTGTCAAATCTTGTAATTGATACAATTGTATTCACTAACACTTCACACAACTGTTTCTCAGACAGAGGGGTAATCTAGTCACCAGTAGAGTAAGAATAGGTTGACAAATGAGCATCAAAACTTCCCACTTACCTAGCATAAATTTGCTCCAATTCTATCGCTGCTCTTCAGCTCTCTGAGCCATAGTTCTCAAGAGAACACGCACAGCAGAACAAGTAAACCTCCACAAATTGGATCCAGTAAAAAACAAACCCCGCACCATTTAAAACAACCTTCTTATTATTACAGAGACTCTCTCTCAGAGCACCAGCTGTTGTCTCTTCTTTCTTTTGCATATAAAATCTTGGTAGGAGTCAAATTCCCTTAAAATTGGTCATTTTGCAGGAAAGTAAGCATGGTCTGTAGAATTGGTGCCATCCACACGTTTCTCCGCCATCTTGGAGATGTTACCATGCAATGTTTTGTTGAATTTTACACAAAAACCATTGTGGCACTTGATCAACATCCTTTTTTATAAAGTGATGTTTGTACACATAGTCATCAATTTTATTAAACTGGTCTAAATTTTATGATAAGTCCATATATTGTGCTACTTACTTCTAGGATGAACCCGTCGCTTTTTAAAAAAAGTTTCCAGGTTATAATTTATAACAGCGTTATAATTTGTACTGCTTTTTCACTCCTAATAAAATGCTGGTTTGTTTTGTGATGTAAAAAGTACTTCAAAAGATGTAAGTAAGTTAAAAATCAAACATAGTTTTCCATTAGTTTTAAGATACAAAATTTATGCTAAAGCTCCCAAAGCACAAATGCGTATTTTTGTACATCTCATTTTAATCACGTGCAGATCATGAACATGAGTTCAAGTTTTAGACTATTCTCAGACTATTCAGTTAATAAATACTAGCAGAACTGCTGATTTTTAACACTGTGCACTCGGGGCTGCAGCCAAGAGCATCAAAGCTGTGGCTGCCGTTGAAGAAGCAGTCCACTACTCATTAAAAGGAAAGGTCTCGAGACATACTCTTTACCTCCCCTATGCTCTACCAAGACCTGAACCCAGTAAAGGGGGGGGGGGGGGGGGGGGGGGGGGGGGGCGGGGGGAAGAGAGAAAACAGAGTTTAGATTGCTGTGGAAGAAAAGTGACAGTGATTGTTGTTTACTGCAGGTAGCCTACATAATGTGCCAACCTTTTTTGTATGTTTTGTACCAAGTTCTGAAACAAAAGGAAACATTCATAAAACGTTTGTGCAGAGAAATGTATATAAGCTATATTTTTGTTAGAATTGTAATAGAACCTTACTTTTGTCATAGCTAAGGCAGGTTGCTGTGTATTAAAATGCTGCGTTGTGTCTATTTGAAGAATGGTGTTTCTGGTGAAGTATGTTTATTCATTCTTTCTTATTATCTATTGCAACATTCTTCAATGGATTTTTATTCAGATAAGTTGAACTTCTGTTTTTTATACTGTAAACTGTTTGCTTTTACCATTCCTTTATTTAGAACTAGTGGTCTCTGTGGTTGTACCTTAACTATTCTGATAACTCAATGCTCACTGCAGCTTGCATTAGAGAAAAGACTTTCACAAGGTTCAAAGCTTTATCATCTTAATTTGATTTGTTAAATACAGCAACACTGTAAGACCACATCCATGTAAAACATTTCAATTCATTATTTTTGGTCACACTTCTGGCACAAGGAAGAAAATGTGAATGGCAGAAGGAACATACGAAATAAAGTTCAGCCTCAGTTCTGGTTCACGAGTTAAGGAGTTAATGTGGAATCAGTATAGTCGTTGCAAGATCCTGTGTTTCTTCCCACAGTCAGAGACTAAGCAAAGAAATAATTTGCATGGAGATATGTCGTCTTTAAGAGCAAAAGAAATCAGCACAGATTAATTGTCATCTGCCAGTTGTGTCAGATCTCCTAGACTCTAACCTGTCCAGTTGACTAACAGCTGCTTGTTTCATGCTATTGTCAGTGCACAGATACGTAAAACAGCACTCAAGAGTTAAACAAGTATTAAGGGTAGGTCTGATAAAGATATTTACTTTCCTGATGTGAACATACATAATTCTGCATTACTGCAAGGTAGAAAAAGAAATTTAAAAGGACACAAGGTGGAAGTAAAATTTCTAATCTGGTCATCCTAATTCTGCTCACTGCACTTCCCAACAGCAAGTGACAAACTCTTATTTAACAGGAGTGGGCCAGTATAGCCTTACTGTGTTCACTGGTATGCTCCAAGTTCATTTGTAAAACAAAGAACTCAATTCAATACTTTCAACTCAACCATCTTTAAAGGAAGAGACCCTTGGGAGTCTTACCAATGGAGTGTATCTGAGAACAACAGCACTTTTGATAGATATAAGTATTTATACATTCATGTAGGACTATTTAAGGCCGAATTACATCCCTGTAAAATGCACAGTGAGTTTTGTGACTAGAACTGTTCAGTTAAATAGGTCTGTTTCTCTACCAGGTGTTCACTTTAAAGGCAGTCACATAAAAATGAAATAGTTGTTCTCATGGTATAGGAAGAAGAGGTAATAAAAAGATGATGTACCTTCTCCCTAGTTATAACTGATGATAGCAGTAGCCTCTCCAAAAAAACCTAAGTTTTATAAGCTTTCACTGTAAAGTTTTAGTAACAATGTGTAACCCCACACTTTATATACAACTAAACAGTTACTTCTCAATTGAAACAAGGGAAAAAGAGCCAAAGAGAAACTGATCTCCCCAGCTTGTACCGGGGTAGCCAAAAATGCAACACTTGCTAATGAAGACAAGCTGAAACAATGCAGACTGACAGGCAGAAAGGCTTAACATGCCTTCCTCCCCCAAGTTTAATACCATATACCCAAGGACATGTTATCGTCAGCTGTAATCCAAACACCCTTCCTATGCTGGTCGATATAATAGCCACCCTGAGCAAAGAACACGCAGCTCAAGATTTAACACTGACTTAACCTTCCTGAACTGAAAGGAGAGGATAATTTAACAATTTCTCCATCTGGTTTGTGTTTTTCAAATACGTCATTTTGAGCTCTACACTCAAACAAGATTAGTTGTACAAGTTGACTACAGTGGGGAAAAAAATACAGCTCAAAATTTTACTGTCCCTCTGCGCTGAGTTCCAGGGAAGGTTATGGTCAGACTCAAGAGGCAAAGCTTGGCTTCTGGGTGGTAGGGGGAAGGTAAGTGCCCACAGGGGCTGGGGGAAACAAGTCTAAGAGGTTCCTTGGTTTCTTCTAGGAAGCTGGAGCTTCCTCCTTTTGCTTCTGCTCATCAGTATCTGCTTAGCCCTTTGTTTTGATTGCACTAACTGCAGCTGCTGGATCTTAAGTCTAGAATTAAAGCCCTGTAGTCTCCTGTACTGAAAACAGTTCTCATTGATTCAAAAGGAAGAGATGGCACTGAAAAGTTGCATGAGACTTACTCCTAAACAGTGCTGGAGTCTGTGCTGGATCTTCTAAGTAGACCTGAGGACAGTGGCACGCTCTTCTACGTGGCTTTAAAACCACTAAGTCACTAAGTTCCCAAACTGCCCCCTTCCCTAGCTCTTCTCTGTTCAAATGGTAACTTACCACTCATTAACTCATCCTCCCTCCCACTTTCTTTGTATCAGTTCTGGGTTTAACTTCGCTTTTTTTTTTCTTTTGGGTTTTTGTTGCTTTGGTTTGGGGTTTTTGTTTTAGTTTGGGGTTTCTTCCGACTCCTGTTTAGCTTGCAGATTACTGCTGCTATCTCAGACTTGAAAAAGGCATTGTGTACTTAGAGGCTTTTTATTTTAAAATTCTAAAATACTACTTATCCTTAGAAACTTGGTGCAGATTTCTCTGCAGTCAAACTTCAGCTGAGAATTTAGTACTCATCTGGCAGAAGCGTTTTGCTAGTATTGAACACATCAACTGCTACGGCTTAAGAAAGTATTTTACATCCTGAAAATCCATGGTAAGGCCAATGCTTTTTATTAGATACAAATTAATTTGATGAATGCACTAGGGAAAGACTAAGCTAAACCAATCACACTTCATGTTAGACATGGTAATGGTGCTGTAGAAACTCCAGTAGCGTAGGTTAACCCACAGTAAAACTACAGCTACTACAAGTGAGGAGTATCTATATACCTCGCTTTGCCAAAAATTAAAACCTGACAAACCAGTATTGCCTGCTTTTCTTTCTTGCTTCTACCCTTGGTGCAGGACAGTAACTTCAAATGCAAAAATTCTATTTGAGAACTGTTTCTTTTGGGGGTTTTTGTAGATACATAAATCTGAGCCATCAGTGACTAGTGTTTAGCTTCAAGAAACAAGTTACATAAAGCAGGAAGCCTCAGATTTTTTTCTGTGCCTCCTTTCTGCACATAACACTGGAATGCCCCCAGCTGCTGTAGTTAGGATCCATCTAAGGATCTTCACAAATCTTAATTTTGACGTCAACCCATGATATTTTTAAACATTAGGAAGAATATTAGAAACCATTTAATGAGTCATCATTCAGTCTTTCAAGAGAACACCATTTCTGCTGACAGAGTAAGCCAAGTAAGTTTCAACATGCAAAATTCTCCTTTGAGAAGAGTAGTAGCAACTAATCAAAATTCCAGTATAATACATGACATTAAGTGTAAAGCTTACTGGTAGTCACATTCCCAGTAGCTCGGTCTTTTCTTTACACTCACATTTAACACACATCCAGTTTTTATATATGTAGCCTGTATTAGAGCAATTTAAAATTTGAGCTGCAAATTGCCATTTTGCGCCAATTTTTGGAATAGTGTTAAACTGCGGAGCCTAGATTCTCGTTCACCATCCTTCCACAAAATAATGAGGTGGTCAGCAGAGCACGTAGCCAGTCCCAGTTCACCAAAGTACAGGAACATCTGCAATGAAACAATTACTATTACCATGATGCTCACATGAAATTGTCAGCTTGCTTAAGTGTTCAGTGCACAGCTGGACTAAGCAAATACACACGTCTGAAATGGTTCCGCTTGAACATAGGTATGCAAAATTACAATGTATACTTTCTATAAGTTTGAGACATCATAAAATCCCTACATGAAAACAACTCTTAAACAGCACTTCACACTGAAAGATCTCAATTTAGAAAAAGCAGCAAAGCCTTACAGATAGGGAAGCTAAGGTACAGAATATTGAAGAAATTGTTCCAAGTCAGCAGTAGAAGAGTGAGTGACTTGCATGAACTCTGATCTCCTGGTTTCTTAGGAATAGAAGCCACTGTTCTGTTCACTTGGGTACACTGTCCCCTGCCCACACCACACCACAGGCTACCATCACCAGGCCTGGAAGGATCGAAGAGTAAACAACTGTGACAGACATCAGCATGTGCCAGGTCACACAGACGAAGCCAAACCAGCAAGAACTGTGACACAGGAGAAAAGTACAGCAGCAGTGGAGGGATTTTGCAAGAGCAATGGAGCTGACAAGTCATGTAGTCATCCCTCACTTCAGAGACCTCCACAAGGCTGCCTAAAATTAGCCACTAATTGCAGTTCAACACAACAGCCAATGGAACCAGGTTACATGATGCCACTACGGCATGCTTGCAGTGTCCTGACTCTTCAGCTTGTGGAAGGGATCTGCTCAGGGGAAGCATTCAGGCCAAGGACTGTGCTACAGCCTACCTACTCTGGGAACGGCCACTTACTAGCTATGTGGTTCCAGTAGAAATACTCTGGCCAAGCCCACATCTTTGACCATCACATTTCATCACTACTCAACATTTCCAGCCTCAACTGCTCCAGTCTGCCCACAGTTGAAAATGGAATTTTCCATATGTAGAATGTTGCAGGAAATCACATCCATCATCATCTCAGTTACTCCTTGGCTCCACAGCATCCCAGCAAAGACCCAACATGTGCCTCTCACCACCTTTGCTGTGCCTCTTGCTGAATTACACACTATGTCCTCTTTCTTAGATAGCAACTTTCCATAATGATAATAGGGCATCTTTCAACAGTTTTTCAGAAAGAAAGATGGTAGAGAGGGGCAGAAAGCCTTGCAGAAATCCCTGTAGCAGAAAGGTTCACCTTAGCTATTCATGAAAAGCTTTCAGCTTTTGGCAGTAGCAGTTCTGAAATCCAGTCAGTTTCATGAATACTTGTGAGCAAAACTACTGCAGAACCACACGGCTTCTCTACCTGCCCTTCCCCCAGCTCCTGCCAAGAATGCGTATAGAAGTCCACTGTAAGACAGTGATTTGTTACTCCAATAGGTTTGTCAAACATGAAAAGGTGTGGAGGGAAAATGCCATTTAAAACAAAAACATAATCTATTAGACAGACAGAAGCACAGAATGGTACCTGATCTAAAATTAAAAGACCTCCTTAAGGCTCACAGCACAGAAGTCTAAGAAATTCCTGAATGGGCTTTGTTTTATATGAGCCCTTGCTCAGATCGCAAACTTAAGATGAAATCCAGAACAAACACGCAGTTCCCAGCTGTATTGCTTGCAGTCTATAAAGAAACCCAATACCCCACCAGATTATCTGTAGCATGTATGTATATATCTGCACACACAACTCTCAGGCATCAGTGAGCGTTTGAATTCTCATTAGAACTTTAAGTCAGTATGTTTTCTGTTTGTTGGGGTTTTTTTAAACTGCACTAAATATACCACACAATCAATGTGTTCCCAGCCTCCAGAGCCAGACAGGCGAAAGTTACAGCTGTTTAAGAAACAGTGCCAAAATTACATTAGTAAGTGAAATTCACTTTTTCTTGTTCTTACTAAAGTTGACCTACCTGCACAGCTGATGAATGACCAATCAAATCACCAACCAGCTCCAAGAAATACATAGATGTATTGTCCTGCATCTTCTTAGCAGCTTGGTTTGCCTGCTTGTTCGCCCTTCCAAATCCCCACATGTTGAAAAACCCTGGGGGAAAAAAAGAAAAAAAAATATCTTTTATTTTGGCAAAAGTCACAGATACAATTTATTTCCTCTAGCTAAAGAGAGAACTACAGGAATCACTTAAAATCTAAAAGCAGGACAGTCTGCATGGCAAAATGACAGAAGCATTGTACTGCACAGCATTTCTACATCTGATTTATTCATCTTGAGGGGGGAAAGAAACATAGCTACTTTGTCTTTTGTCCTTACAAGACGTAATTTAGCAAACTTGTTGAATTACTCACCTGGATGAGACAATATATGGATTTAGCAGGAAATCCAAGGACTGCCTAAATGAACTAACTGAACAGCAGAGGTAGATGCAGGACAGTGATGTTTACCTTTGCTCCGTCCTCTTAAACTGCTACTTGTGCAAAGAGGAGAGAAATGAGGTGCCAGCCTCTCCCCTGTATGTCCTGCACTAAGGCATTAGAGTGCTGGCATACAGGTAACAAGCAAGTTTCTGATGCTGAATTGCCTGTTTTTATACTGCCCACTGGCTTTCTCCTTCAGATTTAAAACCATGAGGCAAACTGGAGTGTAAAGACAGTACTGCATGTGTTCCACTTAGATAGCACGAAATTACGCATCTGTGCCACAGCCTCCAGAACTGTGTAATAATACTGACAGAAGTAAGAAAGTTGGCTTCTGTACACAATGCAGTTCAGACTTTCTTCCTGACCCTTCCCTCAGCCCCATCAGCACACAAAACAAGAATTGTGCTAGACCATGGCCCTGGTGCAAGCGAGAAAACTGGAGAGATGAACAACTACTCAGGGGATTCCTTAGAATAAAAATAGAGCAAATCAACAGCAGTCCACTTATCTTGCTGTTGCATATGGTTTCTTTCAAATGTCTCCAATCATAGAAGTTACAAATTTCCAATGTGAAACCAAATACCACTTGTCACAATAAGAAGCAGAACTGTATAGATCAGCAGTCACCAGCAATACTGAAGACAGAACATGCCTGAAAAAGTTTCTAAATCAATCCAGGCAGCAAAAATTACCGTCAACAGGTGAACAGCCAGCTAGACAAAATACATCAAGAAAATCATTCACAGCTCAAATAAAAAAAATTCCTACAAGAGAGTAACAGCTCACTACTGTTACCAGTCCATAATACTAATTATATTGTCCAGAGCACCTGTCCAAGACCACACCTACCAGTGCCCAGGGAAGCTGCTGGCCTGGTCAAAGAGCAGCAAGCACTACACAGGCAATGTTTGTACTTGGGGGAAAATGCTTCCTAAAACACTGGCAACTAGCCCCGAGGACTAAAACGCCCAGAGGCAGTATGTAAGTGAGGTTGGATACAGCCTCAAAGTGAGTCCCAGTTTCATTCCAAGTTCAAGGAGATGTGGAGAAAACATTTTTTTGTGGCAGCTGCTCATCTGCAAGCTTCTCTTTAGCTTTCTTCACAAGGTCCTGCAACTATTTACTCTTGCATGGTAGAGTATCCAGCACTATTCAGTACAAGGAGAAGTGGATCAAGGTTTGTCAGGAGACATCATAATTTTTGTTAAACCAGCTGATACAACTGTAAACTCTAAATAAGCTTTATGGCATAGAACTGCTTCAGCTGGACCTTCTAACTTCCCATATCAAATCTGGGAGGGCTTGTACACCCTTGTCTTCTTCAGTTTCCCACCTGTTATCAGTTGGTTGAATGCAAGACACATCTCTTCTTACAAAGCCTGTAAGTCTCTCTATTCCTATATGGTGAATATTGGGTTTCCTGTTATCCTTTTTAAAAGTACTTTTCACCGACCCCCACTACTAGCAAACCTGTTGGAACCGGTTCAGCTGGCAGCTGCTGCTTTTCTCGGAGCTCCCAAATGCGCACACTGCCATCTTCTGAACAGGAGATCAGCTGCCTGTAAAAACAGTTGATAAGCAACACTAGTATGGATACTTAACTGCACAAGTCACCCTGTGATGTTTCCATAAAAGAGACAGCAAGTGCCTCAGGTTCTACACAGGTTTGCTAGAACTCTCAAACGTAGCAGGACATCCAGATGTTCCACACAAAACAAGGTGCATTCATAGCAGGACAAACTATAATGGACTTACAAAATAGGTGGAAAAAATACACATTTTCAATCCCACTTTAAAAGCATACCACTCTGTAAAACAAAAAATAACAATTCTAGACTCTGCAAATACAGTTCCACTAACTGACTTCCGAGCTTACTTTCATTAAGCAAAACCATATTTTTTCTTATGGAAAAATAACAAAAGGAAAGATACTCCTTTTCATTACATGTTTAGAAGTGTTCAGAACAGCACATGCATTTACAAGATAAAGGCCCTAATTTTTATCTTCCGACAGTCTTTTGCTCCATTGAACAAGAGTATAAAGGGATCTAACAACACAGCTATTAGATTATACCTATGTAGCAAATTGTCCAACTTGGCTGTCAAAATAAGTTTCAGCTAGAAATTCAGCACTAACGAACAAAGGCTGGAAGTTGTTATTTTTTGTTAAAACATTTCAACTGTTACAAAAAAATTTAGTGAAAAATATTTACTGAATATGTCATAGGCCTTTGCTTTATACAAGTAAAATGCCATTAAGCTATATTTTCACAGTGTAGACAAAAGTGCTTTATCAAGTCCGATTTTGAAAATAGCCAAGATATTTTACTCTGAGCCTGCGCATCAAGCATACTGGATTATAGTTTTTTCACATTGAATTACAGTGATGCATTTTCAAAAAGCAGATCAACAAACTATCTAATAAAAGCAGATCAAACTAAAGATCAAGTCCCTGCCCTAGAAATTAGATGTAGCTTTGCAGACTGTCTCTAGCCACCCTTCCAAGTTCTACATTTCTTTACTGCATTAACAAAATATACCGTGACTCGTACCTGTTTGGAAGCTTCTCAATGTGCAGTACAGAGGAGTCATGAGCAGTTCTCTGGCAGGCAATCACACGCTTCATTTGAAGATTATATACGTATATGCCTTTCCCAACAGCAGCAAACACACACTGGAAAGAAAATTCAATGGAACAACTTACAGAAACAGATACTGAAAGATCACCCTGCGTGTAATGGATTTCCAGCAGTACTATGACGTCATCTAGCCCATATTATCTAGCTTGTTTCTGTCCTTGTGTTACTGCTTTATCCCAAACATACAGAATCAGCAAGTTATAGAAAAAATAATGATTTTTTGGAGGAAATGAGAGATATCCTCTTATACTCTAAGCAGTTGTTTCATTTCTGTATTTTCATGCCGTACCTTACAGTCTAACCGGAAACTAAGGATACCAACAATCAACACATTTTGACAATTAAACATTTATGTTGTTACACTAAAGTAATGCTCTGTGTTTTGACAAAATCTTGTCTTAGCAAGAAAGATTGAGAATACAGGAAGCTGTTTTGCATTTTTGCCTTTTTTTTTTAAATGTAACTGAAGCTGCATAAAGAGGTCTTGCTCAAGCATTTGGGCTCTACTGAGTGTAGAAAAGGAACTCTCTCACAGAAAGGTATTACACAATACTGCAAAGATCTGGAACCATTTTGCATTCAGTGCTCCTCTTCAGAAAGTGCAGGGATTCCGTTTCATAACCATCACAGTCCTAAGAAGCCACAAACAGTTTACAGATCATTGGACCTGGACCCTCTAAAATCATTAGCAGTCATGAGAGAGGACAAACGTACCATCATGTGTACATACACATGATAAATATTTGCTACCAGAGGAGTGCAGAATGCTTCCATTCAGTACATATTTGGGTTTTTGAAGATACCTTGTTTAGGTGATGGTAGGCTGGATCTTTTCCCTGAATGGCCTGCTTCCATCTACACAGCCCAAACATTAATGTCTCATAAGCAGTTCACACTACACGCTTGTCAACATTTTGTAAAACTGGTAACCCAGCGTCTTTGACTAAGATTTCCTATATATATTCAACGGTGTTTTGACATTGTTCAAAACTCCTTGTCCAGGTTTTTGATGGGTTTTGTTTTGGTTTTTCTTATGCACATCTGCGGTGGGAGCTCCAATAGCTCTGAAACTAAGCTCAGATTTCTGATAGCACTCTACCAAATCAAGGAAAAAACACTGAGCCCAATTCAATAGCCTTCCACATCACTCTTCCACTCCTGTATCTCAGCCTTTTCTCCCCTGCAGTCTTCCACCTTGAGACAGGCTCTTGAGTTTCATATAGTCTTATAGCTTTGCAAAAGATGGTCTTCACAGATCTATTTTTGCACAAGCCCTGGCAAAACCCTGGTCATCTCAAACCCCAAGAGAGTAACAAATGATGAAGCATAAATTCGACTCCTATCTTAACAGGCAAGTTAAAAAACTCACACACACACGTGTGCCAGGACAGCACATGCAGTCCTTAGCACTGTTTCCTAGTATTGCCGCACCTTTACCATCCCATTTGTTTCTGAATGATGTTTTGCCTACAAGCTCAGTGTCAAACTAGACAAGTACATCTTCTCCAACGACCTAACTACCAAGCCCGCTGACAAAGTTCCTAACAGAGAAAACGCCAATTTTACTTTATTTTTTGTAACATGAAGAACAGTGTTCTGCTTTTGGATAGCAGGTAACAAAGTAATTCATTATAGGAATACGTTTCTTCTACCACTTTCTAAGTAGTAACTTTACAATACAGACAGCTCTGCCCTAAAACCACCTACTATTTCAGGATGTAACACTAGAACCACCTTTTCTTCCCACCATTCAAAAGTCTCACAATAAATAAAATTCTGCAGCAATTTGTTTAGTTCAGTTCCATGAATGGAAGAAAGTCCTCAGCAGCCTCAGATTCCACATTCAATGTTTTAAGTACTTCTGAACTTCCCAAAATTCTTTTCCCCTCTTAAAACACATCTTGTGTAGCTTTCAAGCAGGGAATCAAAATGTTTTGCAGCCAAATTATAGAACCTCTCCTGAACAGGATTGGCTTTTTGCTCCTTCTAGAACTAAGCACCCACAACAAAACCACTGGAAATCCTACCTTTAGAGACAACTGCATCTCTTTACCTCCACACCCTTCCAATGTTTCTCTCTCCAGTGTTTTAGGAGTGCTCTTTTCACAGACAAATGCATCAGTGACTACTTGGCCCTCAGCCTACATTCAGGCTTTTCCACAGCTTTTATTTTGTTATAGGTCATATCTCTGAATCCATTTCCAGGAGTCCCTTTCTTAATCATTCCCCAGCAATGGGCCTACAGGCCCCTAAACAGAATCCCACTGTACCCCAACTATAAAACATGTTTTCTTTTGCCACTAACAGTTGGTAACATTTCACAAAAGTAAATAACAACCTGAGGATTTTTAGTGTTTCCTGAAGAATAACTGGGTTCTGTCTGAGTATTCTGACGAAGAACTCTTGGATTATCTTTAAAGCATGATTACAGTAGACTGGATTTTGGACCCGTATTTGTGCTCTTTACAATTGAATATAGCCCATCTGAACAGAAGCAGCAATATTTATTTACTACTAAGCATAGACATATGCCTATTCTTTAAATAGGCATATAACTGTTCAAGAGGCACGTTACTGTGGAAACTGCATTTGCAGAACTATGGAATATGAAAGACGTATGCCATCAAAACACACACCACCTGTTTATTTTTCTCTAGTGGTACTGTAAACAACTAATAAATCTTCGTCAGTCAAAAAGAAATGCTGTTGTGACAGTCCATTATGTTAGTTCTTATACCATGAACAGATTATAGCCTTCAGCTAGCTCAAAGAACAAAATTTTATATAAAAACTGTTGACTGTATAAAAATAGCTGTGCACATTTTAAAGAAGCTTCTCATATTAAAACAAGCAAACTGAAAACACAAAACACTTGGCCTTCTGTGGTAAGGTCACGCTAGCTCACTTGAAGTAGTTTACTCTGTTTAAAGTTTTTTACCTCCTCATCAGATGTTAAGTGTTGAACTGAAGTTTCATTTGGGCTTTGGGATAACTTTATTTCCGGCTGTACATCTGGAGGGACAGAGGAGTCCCAGAAGTTGCACTCACATGCCTGCTTCGTCCAGTCAAGTGCATCCCAAACTATTAACTCACCCACATGAGAACCTGTCACAAAAGTCAAGTCTAGAGGGGAAAAAAAAACACACATAGAAATCACATGATATAAAAAAAAAATCCATTTCACACAAAGTTACAAACCTAGAAAGTTAAGAGAGCCCATTTTCAAGTGAATCTATGTAGAACGTGCAGTACGTAACTGACTGGACAAAAACCTCTCCCTTTGAGTAAATACTCATTTGATTACCTAGCATAGCTCAGATGAGCAAAAGGAGATGAGCACTCTCTCTTGTAAAATTAAAACTAGGAAAGAGAACATTCACCAGCCACAGTGCACAGTACAGTATAGCAAAGGCAAGGACCACCACCAGAAGTATGTACAGGTATTTGAAGTTCATTTGTTGCCTACATACAAAACCCTTCTATTCCTTGGACAAGTAGGTGTATCAGCACCCCTCAGACACAGCAAAGAACATCTTTGACAAACAGAAATACTGATCACAAATTAAATGGATGAGTTAATGGTACGATTGAAGTAGCTGCTTATGAATTTGTTAATCACGCATGGAAAGGAACTGCTTCAACAATACTTAACGCAGATAGCATGTTGTCTTTTTAAGCCCAATATTGCTTCCCCTTCATAATCAAAAAGGAGAAAATAAGGGCAACAGGAAACCCCAGAAACAACTACCATAGAATCCAAGTTTTCTCCTTTCCACCTTCTTGTTAACTCTGTACCACAGCCCCTTTGTGCCAGCCAGGCTGACACAAATAAGCCCAAGGACAAATATACACTCCCTATCACACCAGGAATAACTTGCCCTGGGCTCTAGGAGTGCTCCATAAAAAAGACAGGGAAGAACAAAGTAGGAGGGGTTGAAACCTGTAGTAGAGTAGACAGAATTTCAGGTAATAGCTCAGTATTGCCCTAATGAGCAGCAGAGATTGCATCATCTTCCAGAGCCTCTAAATAATGGATCTATATGCAGGCCCACATCCACACACCCAAAACTTTCAGTTACCTTGGGACTACAACTGCAAAGGATGTGGCATTTTAAATTCCATTTTAAGATCAGAAGGAACAAGAAAAAATAGCATTTTAAACTTTCCTAACAGGAAGAAAACCCAAAGTTCCATTTCCATCAATGACACTGCCTCTTTTGTGCCTTTTCCACATTGTAACCTACCTGGTTTCATTTCACTGCTAATCCATAAATAAAGCCATTATGTTTTCATATTTCACTACCTTTGCAGCTACACAGGAAGATACATCTACTAGTTATGAAGTTTCACTCCAGTTAAAAGTTTGGTCCCAATAAAAACTCCATAGTTGAAATATCCCACTGGTAACAAACAAAACTAGTAACATTATAAAATTACTCTTACCATTGACACTGACCAATGACAAAATGTTATCCTGATGGTCAACAAGGCGTTTTACTTCAAGGACATTCCAACCTTCAGACCCATCATTAGAAGCAACCAACCTAAAAATTACTTCAAAGACAGAGAGAGAAATTGTCTAAACAAGCTTTATGATTCAGAATAAAATGTAGCTATGCTTAAATAAAACACATCATTTTCAGAAAGACACAAACTAAAACATATTATAAAGTAAGACAGTACAAGATGTGCAAAGCCACTTACGACCACTCGTAACACCAAAAAAAATGGGAATAAATTATTTCAGTGTTATTATAAGGCCTCTTACTACAGCAACTATCGGATAAAACATTTCAGCCTAGTAACTCTGAAATTCAGAGAATCAGTCAACATCAGAAGTCGCAGAAAACAGAAGTGAAAAGTACTAGACATCTTCAGGGATAAGTAAAGTAAAAGCGAAACACCTTTCTTAAGGGCTCATCTGACTGAAAACTATTATTCAAAAGGATACAATATTCTCAGTAAGTTCAGTAAGGCAATCAAGTTCTCCAGGAATTAAAACTTTATTTTAACAGTCTTGGAATTTCTTTTATGATATCTCAAGATATCAAAAGAACTGTGGGAAGTTCACATGGAAGTTTACATTGTATACCAATGTCTAAACACAAGACAACTATTTTTAATTTGCTCCTGATTCTTTGATCAGAATATCAAATTGCTATTTTTCAGCTAAGTGTTTAATCATATTGAGCAAAGTCTGTTGTTTTGCTGATTCAGTGCTCTACTTTTTCTCCTGGATTTTTTTCCATATTTTGAAATTTCAGTAATCTTATAAAACACTCTTATTTAAGACTCTCCACTGACAGCTAGCTGATGATTTACAGTTTGCATACATAGAAAACCCTGTCTCCAAGTGAGCAACAGAAACTATTACATTGTCTCATTATAGCTTTGGACAGTATAATGAGATCGGCAATATCTCATACTCCTGATCTTGGGATAAGGAGACTGTAGAGAAGACTAGTATCTGACAGCTCAGATAATGAGTTCCAGACCTTCTCCAGAAGGACAAATGTAGATCGCCACAATCAGATCTGGACAGATGGCAATAACAGTAATAACAATAACAAAGAATATAGAAAAGTTTTGTCATGCAGATCTCAATAAAATTCCTGAATAGGATTAGTATTGTCTGCCTCTGTGAAATAAGGGAAAAAGGAAGAAGGTTGCTAATCACACCTTAATACCATTTACTTTTCCTATATAATTCCAGCAGCATGCTCTTTACACATATCTCTGATAAGCAGCTGTTATAAAGGAACATGAACACTTAACAGAAATGCAACATACTCACCTAGCTCTTTGCCAACAGTGGCCGCAACACAATTTTTAGGCAATTCAACCAAAGCACTGATACCTTTGAAAAAATACAGGAGATAAGGGAGATATTCATTGGCCACAAGAAAACATAGCAAACTGTTATTTCCTTATTAATAAAGTTCTTCATAATCTTCCTTCCACTTATAAGTTATTATCAAAATAAAAGCATATGGCCTGAAGTGAAAGTTAAACAGCACTGGAATTGAACAGGTTACCTCAGATGGAGGTAGAGTCAGGAGTTTTGGTCCCGAATCCAGCAGAATTCTGAACGTCAAACGTGAGGTGAAGCTGAGAATCAATAACCTTTTTACTTTAAATACAGTTAAGATGTTTATGTCCTAATGCTGGACAATATTAAGGACACTGTAGTAATTATTGAGACTCCAAACATACGCAGTGCCAAAATTATCAGATACTGATACTACCACAGTATGCATGATACTAAGTATCATGCGGAGACAGCTGAAGAACAGGGCACAAGATAAAATGTCCAGCTTGCTGTTACTCTGCCTTCATCCTGCACACAATTCAACCAGTCCGTGCTGCCACACCATTAAAGGAAAATTCCCCAAGGAAAAAGCAATCTGTCTCTTTCTCCACAAAGGAAGCAAGAAATTAGGAGGGAAGAGAGGGCCCATGCTGCACACACCATTGACACCTTGTACGAAAGTTTCAATAGCACCACATGCTAAGCACTACAGCACCACTTCCAACTGGTATTTGGCATGATATTTCGTATTGAACCAGAAGAAGTATTAATATCCTTAAAGATTCAGAAGGTTTTGCCTACCACTACTCCATTCTATAACAAAAGTTCGGAGACCTTATTGTAGCCCTCCAGTACTTGAAAGGGGCCTACAAGAAAGCTGGAGAGGAACTTTTTACAAGGGCATGTAGTGATAGGACAAGGGCTAGCGGCTTTAAACTGAAAGAGGGTAGATTTAGATTAGATATTAGGAAGAAATTCTTCACTATGAGGGTGGTGAAACACTGGAACAGGTTGCCCAGAGAGGTGGTGGATGCCCCATCCCTGGAAACTTTCAAGGCCAGGTTGGATGGGGCTCTGAGCAACCTGGTCTAGTGGAAGGTGTCCCTGCCCATGGCAGGAGGGGTGGGACCAAGTGATCTTTAAGGTCCCCCCCAGCCCAAACCATTCTATGACTCTATGAAAATATTGGTTCCAACTTAGAATTTGATTCACAGCTTCATAGGTATCTTTGTAAAGTATGGCAATAATATGCAACAATTTCCTTCGCATGGACAGATTATATAAGCTTATAAATAGAAAAGCATGACTGACATTGAGACCTGATTACATTTACTGTATTTCTATCAAAACCTGCATTTTCTACATCAAAAGTACTGATTCTTAATAATAAAAAGAAACCTTTACTGCTTTACTACTACAAAGCTTTACTTAGGAATAATAAAACTCCCGCTCATTCACAGAGAAAGCCAGCCAAAGGATCTGGTCCACATTACAGCAAACATGTATAAATCAGCATCTGAGGTCTAGCCCTGTAAGTCCAAGCTAATGTACAGTTACTAAGATTTGACATATTCTAAAATTCACACAGCACAGGAGATTAAAAGCAGTCTTAATTCTGAAACAATTAAGTCTGACATTTAAAAAAATAGAGACTGGCTCTAATACGTAATGTTATCATTAGAATTAAAAAGAATTTGCCAAGGTGGTTTTGCACCATTATACAGATCCATTTTACTTGTACTTTAACAGCTATAATGAGTCATTTACATTTTTACCTGCATCAGTAAGATGACTGGTCTTACACAAGAGATCTAATTTTCGGTTCCAAACACATAGATCACTCCCTCCAGACAACCATACATCCAGTCTTTGAAGAACTGTCAAACACTGCAGAACAAAAATCAGATATATGTCCCCTGCAAAAGTTCTACAGGGAGTTTCTTAGTGAAATGATCACAAGCTTTAGTTAGATAAAACTGTAAGTACCATGCAATACAGCATTAAGGTGTCACTTTCCTGAGAAATACAGATTTAATTACATACTATATGTTACGTTTTTCCATCAACAATGCAAAAACTGTTTTTTCAGTGGTTTTTTTCTACTATTAACATTCAAGAACTAGTTTGACTGTAGGTTGCCTTTTCCAACACAGTAACAAAACCAAGCCATAAAATTACCTTTGTCCTGCATCCTTTCAAAAAGAAAATTGAGGTATTAAGAGTTCCAAAAACAAATTAAGAATTGTGCCCACTTCTCAGCCACTCATTATGTATCTGTTCTTAAACCAAACACTGCTGTTCATTTTAACACACCTGCCCATATGGCCCATGAGCCATACATAATAGATTCTTGTATACAACAAAACAACAGACATACCTAGGGTTTCCTCAGCTTACCTTTACAGTAGAATGGAAACATGACACTTTCTGAACCTGCCTGCCGCTAGTGCAGTCCCAAACCTGACTTTATTCATTAAGGAAACTGAAAGGTTTTTATAAATTATAAATATAACTGCTGTGTTTGTAACTAAATGACAGATTGGGAAATAGGTATGCAGAGACTTAGTCTTCTAAACTCTCTCTTTTCAATATTTGGCCAAAATGACATATTAATAAAGGTCTGTTATGGAGTCATTTTTGTAGCAGGGATTGCATCTACTTTTGAGCAATAACTAGTAAAATCCTAGTGTAATCCAATTATACCTACTGGATATTATCACCCAATGAATTGCAGCCTGTCTCAATGCTACCTTTAAAAGTAAAAACCAAGAAAAAACCCATAGAAATTTTAATCCTCTCCAGATCTAAGGATACAATAACTGTTGTATCAGCTGATGCTGTTAAAATCAAATGGTTTTTTTCTTCAGAAGCATCTGACGAAGAAAATGGTGCTATAGCTGTAATTTTGTGTGTGTGTCCATGAAGTTCAAAAAGTTTTTCCCCAGTCTGAAAAATAAAAACATGGAAAACTAAGGGTAAAATTTGGAAAATGCCTACTGTAGCATATGACATAGGTACCAAATGACTTTTGAAACCAAGAATTTCTAAGAGTCTAAAGTCTCCCTTTCTAAAGTAATTTATGGATTTACTTCTTATACTTTCAGTACTGTTCAAGATCTTACCCAGAATTAAATAATATATTAAGTATAAGTGTAAAGGAGTAGTACATAATAAAAATTACTCTGAGAAAAAAAACACTCTGAAAGCCCTTAATAACTGAGTTCTGTATTAAACTCATTTCATTTTAATGCAAATATTGGCCATTCACCCTTTTTAACAGATATTACAGTAATTCAGATTTGTTGACAAACCTTCTCTTGAAAAAGTAATTTTTTTTTTCTTTTCTTTTAAAAGGTTAGAAAAACTTGACCTCTATTTATGGCAAACACAGTACTGCCAAATTCCTGACAGCTTTATTTAGTATGTACATTATCTATAGCTTCAAGCCAGTGGTTTAGATAACTGCAGCTATGTCTGCTCTGCTTAGTCAAATGGCAGAACCCTACAAACAAACATGCAGAAGCATGCTGGCGTTTTAAACATGCAATTAAAATACACGGTAGTTATAACTGTAAACTTCTTTACACTTGTGGGTTAAGTTTTTAAAGCAAACCTTTTGTAGTTTTAATTTAACAAAAATCCTACAGAAGTAGAAAATGGAACTCCGTTGCTAAGCTGGATATCTAAATGAGTTTTACATTCACAAACTGTTCAGAACAATGAGTACATAAACTCACATACATGGTTTTGAATATTTAAAAACAATTTCCTTTTCCAAACTATAGAATTATAAGAGACTTTCAACAACAGCAAAGCACTAACTGAAACTGCTCAAAAGGGAGCTAAAGTTTCAAGTTCTCCCTTCCATATTTTAAAATTACACCATCATAAATGTCCCACAAATTTTTCAGAAGGTTTCTAAAAAAGTTTACAGTCTAAGATTTCTTTCTTCCTTAAGTTGAATGTTTGATACTCACAGTTTAGACAGCACAGTATGTCTCCCTTTTAGACTTCCTATTGAACAATCTAACTTGTATACTAGCCCTCTAAAGTTTCATCTCCCTTCCATATTTTAAAATTACACCACCATAAATGTCCCACAAATTTTTCAGAAGGTTTCTAAAAAAGTTTACAGTCTAAGATTTCTTTCTTCCTTAAGTTGAATGTTTGATACTCACAGTTTAGACAGCACAGTATGTCTCCCTTTTAGACTTCCTATTGAACAATCTAACTTGTATACTAGCCCTCTTTAACACAGGTCTAATGCTCATCCCTTCTCTATAATTTTGTCGGTGATACGGAGACAGAGAGCAGAAGAGCAGAACAGCGGGTATCACACTTACAGAGCACTATTTCCATGACAAATCTAATGTCTTCGTAAGGTTTTTAAAAGTTATAAGAAGATTTTTTATCACAACAAGCAATTAAGGCCTTGTTTCTGCACTGCATGCTTAACTTCCACTGACTTTTGTGTCTTTCCAATACAGTTTTGTGTTAGCTCTCCATTTAGTCTAATCAGTTATACTACAAATAGGTATTGCTAATAGAGCCACTGAAATGTACTTAAAACTTACGTATATATATAAATCTTGGTAGGATTGGGACCTTGCTATGTATTTGTTGAGTTACTAGTCAACATTTCAGTGTTTACAGCAAACACCGAACATATTTTAAAAGAAGAATTAAAGCCACAAGTTCATACACGCTTCTGCTTTTCACATCATCATTTCATCTCAAATCTCTCTAAAAACATTTGTCTTCCCAAAACATTCTAATGTTTAAAACTTATTCTCTTGGGTTCACCCAACTTTCACTTTCCTAGCTGTCCTTTGTAAACTAAGATTTGACAGACTCCCTCCGCTTTTACATTTTTGAACAGTAACTCTGCAGCAATTCTTATTCATTCTGCTTCTTCGCTACTAGACATTTCTAAGTCCTCTCCCCAACTTCTACCCTCCCCACCGCACACAAGCTACCCCAAAAAAAAAGAGCTAACCTGAGCATTCCACAGAAATATGATTCCATCATCTCCTGCAGATGCAAACCTGAAATGGGAAAAAAAAAAAGCTGTGAAAACTTCAATATAGCATGAAGTAATGGAAAAGCAATAAACAGTTATGTAAGAAAAATATTTACAAGATATATTAGACTCTCACTTTAGAGAATAAACACGTATTCATAAATCCCAATTACAGTTTATAAACTGAAATCAGTACATTTAAATAGGTGTTAACATATACTTAATATAAGAACAAGGGTTAAGAATTCCAATACGAACTATTATAAATAGAATCCCGCATTACAGAACCAATTCTCTTGTTTAAAAATATGAGATCTTACATACCAAATAACAGTGAACTCTGAAACCAAATACTGTTAGTCAGAGCCAACTGACTGCAAGACATCTAACAACTTACAAACCACTCAGGAGTAGAGGAGCCCATTATTTACCATGACACTTTAAACTGTGGCTTAAAAGAACTGCCAAAGGGAGTGCATTTAAGGTGCTAAATTTGTATTCTGCTAAAAATCCAGCTGGAAGGCATACCATATGAGGAAAAAACAGGTTCATATTAGCATCTTAATCTCACATTAACAAAGTCTGACCTAAATTCAATCTTTTCCCTAGGCTAGAGTGAATATCTAACCATCTGCCTACATTTGCACCTTATCACCACCACAGCTACACTGTAGCTGGAGCACACATCCCAGCTATCCCAGTAAAAGCGTACAATGAGTTGAGAAAGCCTAGAACAGAGACAAGACCTTCCATAGAAAATTGATTTCAGTTGTTACTTGCAAATATACCTATTTTTTTTTCCTTTTGTTTTAAGCCTTCACCAAGGGTTAAACAGTTAATATTTAGAGAACCAACTAAGATTTGTACTATGTGCAAGAAAGTCATGAAGAAGAGAGGTTACATCACTTCTCATTTTTTTGTTACCAGCTGTGAATGGTTTCATTAACTATATACACATACTTTCTTTTAGACTCTTTGTAATTACAATGTTTGTGAAACTTGCTAACAGACTAAGTTTTCAGGCATAAAGCTATAGGGTTTCCCCCCCCCCTTTCTTCCACATATCCTCCTGTTTTATTCTATTATAGTAAAAAAAAAGCGTAAGCTGTACTTTCTTCATATCTTTCATTATTTTACATCAAATCAAGCCCTTCTTTAAAAAGATCTGAGCAAAAAACAACCTTCCATGCACACCTCTGATAACATTAATTTCTTATCTTTACTTGCCTTTTGGCTCTATTATACCTTGTTTTGTCACAACGTCAAGAACTTAAAATAGTAAGACTCTCACAATTCTGCAATAACCCTTTAAATTCCGATTCCTTTCTTGAGTAATATTGGAGCTGTGTGCCACTTGAACAAAATTCTAGGAAGAAAACTGGTGTTTGAAAGAAGGCATAAGTGTAATTCATCAACATAGAAGTTCAATAGAGTGCTGTTTTGTGTATTTTCCTCCTCATCGTCTAACCAGGATTTCTGTTTAAATACAAAGGTATACTGTAGAGTCAGTTATCCTACAGTTACATTCTGTTCACCAAGGTGGAGATTCATGGGTCACCTGATTCTTTTCCAGTCATGATCACCATCATCTATAACCTTGTCTGTTTCCTGAAGGAGCAAGGAATGGTCAAATGAGCAACAAAAAAAGCTGTTCTTAAAATGTGTTATGAACTCTGTTTAGTTTAATGTGTCAAATGCTAGAGTATTACATGCAATTTTATCTCAGTCCATTTTTTGGAAGACTCTTGCTGAGGCTTAGCCTTCTTTTGTGATCTTCCAATCAATATGACCCTTACTTCATGTTCAAAAAGTACAAGAGAAAAGAAGGAAAAAACCCCAGCTTTCTGTTACATTTATACAGGATTTATTTAGTATCTTCAAAAACCAATCTGAGAAAATTTTCCACTCACTGGTTTTAGCTGAGCCACTGAGAAAACAAGAAAATCCTTCTTCAAAATTCTCAATAAAATGATATTATCTAAAGACCTGAAGCGTGAAACTTGGCTTACAATAGTTGACAAAAAGCACACAATGGAATAGCTGCAGAAACTAAATAAAAACATTTCAGAAGCTGAGTAACAATACTAATATTACTGAAAAGAATCAAGTGAAAAGTATTATCAGCTGTTTAACAATCCAGAAACTACCATATTCTTCATAAATAAGACCTCAGAATTACTGTCCAGTGAAGCGACTCTATTAAACTCCTCAAACTCTCAGAATATTAACCAGCTATATAACTTACTCCTTATCCATATGCTATTTTATAACCTATCTTCAATGCAGCCATCCAGGCTTTAGTTTTACACTGATTATCATTAGTTTAGCTTCAATAATTGACCTGCTACCATACAGTGAAGCCCCAAATGGTAAAAGATTTATTTGCATCAGACAGTGTGTACAATCTAAGAATACTCTGGTATTTCTATAAAGACCAATTACATTTATTGAGTATGTGTTTTGGGAAAAATGTACTTTGAGGAAAGGTTATTTTAATAACTTGTCTGGGAAAAAAAAGGTCTGGAAAAAAACCCACAAGATTCTTCTATTTTTATATGAATCTTCTGGTAGATTACTATAATGTAGAAAATTAAATTTTATGGTAATGCATGTAACTTTCCTGATATATATTTATGACATTAAGAATGAAAACTGACAATCTAAAAGTTCTCCATGGAGTCTTCTGTGAAATTTTATATAGATATATATTTTGTATATATGTATATACACACACACACACACTATGTATTTACAAAATTATTAGAAAATAAGATTCTGCAGGCATTCCAAATTTGGAAGAGACCACCTGCCCAATCAATGTGCATGGGGAAGGAGAGAAGCTTCCTTCACAAAACACCTGCTGTACACTGCAAGGGTATAAACCAAACTCTTACCCATGTTAACTTTGTGTAGTGTATTGATGAATATATTAGAAATCCCCTTCTGTGCCTAATCCATAAAAGATATAAATTACTACAGCTCCTTAACAGAGACTCTTGCCTATTACTTACGTTCTTAGTTCTAAAGGTTTTCTATTTAATTCTCCACACCAGCCAAGAGTCACTACACTTATTATTGACTAAAGGCTTCACAACCTTACTTTCAAGGCAGATAAATATTTCCTCTCTTGCAGGATTAAGCTAAGTTAGAGAACATGCAAGGCTAATTTAGACAAAGCTAGCATAGAAGCCAGGTCGTAACATAAACCGATCATAATTCATTCTCTCAGTCACCCTTCCGAAGTGACAATGGTAAATGTAATTACTTCATCTCTGCTTCAGTTTTCCAGTTTTTAGATAACTCCATCCTCAGAGTTCACAATAAAGTTGGACCTAGCTACAAGGAACTAAGAACAGAACAGATGAAGATTGTCAGGGAATACACAAAAAAGTGCACAAAGCTAAAAATTTGAAGAGAGAAACAAAGGAACTGTCATGTTTCAAAGAAGTACAGCAAGTTGAACAAGATCAAATTGGAGGAGATATGTAATGCAGATATTAGGCATATGTTGAATTTTACTAAGTAGGCACTCTGAATAAAGTGGTGAAAATTTCAAAATTTGAGAATTTCAAAAAAAAGTTGCATTAACCAAAGCTCAAGTGAATTAAGCACTCCAGTTTCAGAAGAAAGTGTAACAAAAGATTGGAAAGAAAGGAAGGAACATCAGCATTCAATACTGTTGAGAATGTCATGTTCAATTGCTACAGTGTATCTGTAGAAGCCTACTACATACTTCCGTAGAACCAAAAGGTGAAATAACAGCTGTCCTCAGTTCTGAGACATAAAACACATGCATCCACTGAGAACAGAAGCAGACACTACTGCATATTGTCCTGGGAGAAAGTGTGTGTATGAATGTATAGAAAGGAACGTTCAACACAGGAACAGCCTGAAAAAGAAGGGCTGAATTAACTAAAGGCATTTCTTTCAAACAAAGGAATTTGTACCAAGAAACAGAACTTCAACACCATTATTTTCTCGTGAAAGTTTAACTTACAAAGAGAAGCCAAAAGATACCAAGAAAAGGGAGCATTCACCCCTTGCCTTTTTTAACTCCGGGCTTTTCCTGCCCTCCCCCACCAAAAATAAAAAGAGAGGATTAAAAATATTACTACATTTTCATAAATATTCTCTGAAGTATTACCAAGGATGCTGTGAAACAATATGAAATACAATTTCATACCTGCAATCATCTATTTGCACTAGAAATCGTACTATATCTTGATGACCTTTCAACACACGGAGCTCCGTGTAAGGATTCTGTATTTGTTCTTCACCAATTGTCTGTACAGATGATTTCTAAAATTCATAAAAAAGGAATGAAATTTATTTTGTACTGACATAATTATTTTCATCAGGTCTTTGTAATGTCTGGCAATCTACATATAGACCCATGTGTGAATGTATAGTTACATCTGAAGTTAAATTAAGTTTCTGAAACATCATTTTGCCTCAATGAAAATCATTACAAAAGATCATTTCCTATTATTTCAAGTAAATAATATTTTTCTGTAGCATGTATTTTAAATTATAATATAGCATTTTCTGTTTAACAAAAACATTTTGTACTGCTTTAATCACTGATACACCAAGATGAAAACCCACTTTAGTCATGAGCTGTCATGTGGAGCCAGCTTCGTGACTCAATTCACCATACATTCAGTTTTTCATTAAATTACACCTCTTCTGAGAGGTCTGTGAACCTCTCATATCTTTTATTACACCTCTCTGAGAGGTCTGTGAACCTCTCATATCTTTTATCTACCATTCAATTTTAAAATCTATATAAAGATGACATATTTAAAACAAATAAGACTAAACGCTTTCTGTTACATAATATATTAATCATCCATTGGGACTCTATTCACAAAATACCAAAGCAAACCACTTAAAAAAATATAAAGAATGATTAATTAAATTACACCTCTTCTGAGAGGTCTGTGAACCTCTCATATCTTTTATCTACCATTCAATTTTAAAATCCTATATAAAGATGACATATTTAAAACAAATAAGACAAAATGCTTTCTGTTACATAATATATAAATCATCCATTGGGACTCTATTCACAAAATACCAAAGCAAACCACTTAAAAAAACAAAAAGAATGATTAAACATTTTATAGAACAGCATCTGCAATTACCCCCAACTAGACTATTAATTAAAAGAACAATCAATCGCTCAGAGCAAGCTGATCACCAGGCAGGGTCAATAAAATATTGCATAGGACTGCAGTTTCAAGGCACGACAGTTCTGCTAACCTCAATCACCAGTTTGTTTCAACAGAAGACAACTTTTTTTGTATTTTAGGTCTTCCACATTCTGGAACAACTTGCTATTAGACTTTATTTAAAAAATATATATATATATCTAAATAGCTCAGCAGTAACTCAGTGACAGCAGTCTCCTCCTTCTAGATTTATTTTACATGACAGTCAACACCATCTTACTTCCAGGACTGTCTCTTCTTTGAGGACTTCAACAGAACCTACACTGTAAAACAGTAATTACTAAACACTGTACAACATGCAGCATACGTGACAGGTAACCCTGCGTGAAAGACAACCATATTATCCTCAGAAACATCAACATTTTCTTGCAGGAATAATAAATTATTTTCTATTACTTCCATATAGGTACTATGATACTATTCTTCAGAAGTTAAGAATGACAAAGTTAATAAACAGGGAAAGAAATCTGTGTTTATTTTTAAAATGAAGAGGTTGTCAAAATGCTAGTTCTTGTGATTTTATCTTGGTTTTGTGCTATCTGATGCATTTCATGAAGCAACTGTTCCTCATTTTATGCAATTATGTGAGAATAGCAGTTCCCATTTAAAATAATGCAAGTAGAGTCTACACGGTTATAAAGAAGAGTTGGACAAATTATGGAAACTTGGAGTTCAGCTGTCAAAAGCTAATCAAAACATACCTTAAAAAAAAAATTTGAGAGTTCTAAAAATCCTAAGCACATCTCAGCATCACTGGATGACATTAGCAATACTGTAGTCAGAAGACTTCCATTTTTATTTACTAACAGAAACATACCTTCACAAAACAATTGTTACACCGCCTTGAAAAAGTCAGAATTTGTAACATTAACATCCCAATTCTGTATTCTGTTGTTGCTTCCTATTCAATACAAGACAGTGCTACTTCTTTTGAACAATGTGTCTCATCTTATTTTTTCTTAATTCTAAGAATGCCTGTGAATATTGAAAGGAACAGTGCTGCTGATGAAGTACTATAGATAACAACAAAATAACAGTTTTTCCCCCAGTACTGTCATACAACAAGCTATGCTCTCTTCAGATCTTCATTAATATTTACCAAAGTGTTCAGTTACATGTGCATTCTTTCTCTGAAGAAATCTTTTTATACAAACTATTAATTGAACTCTCTTGTAGCAACACCAAGTTTTCAGAAGAGAAAGCTAGATGCTGATGCTAATGGAATCCATTCTCAACTTGCATGTTTTTATGCAGGACCTGTAAGCATCACTACAATAAGTGAAAAAAAACACATTTATCTCAGCTTCAGAACTTCCTATAAACCCATGATCTGAAGCATTTGAAAATGGGATTTTCAAAAGCAATTCACCAAAAATATGGATACAAGAGTACACAGACATACCTATGTATGTATCATGGAGCATGATAAATTAGCTTATATGGACCTTGATACTACTGCAGTTAGACTGCTCCCATTACCAAAGCCACCCTGCTTAAGATGTACACCATAGCAATCAACTGAAGAAATTCAGCAGCTTAAGTCTAAATGATTTTCAATTCCATAGTAAAAAAAGAAAGGGGTAAGGAGAAATTTACATTTCATTAATTTAGGACAGCTTTGCCATAGGCTTCCTCTATTCACCCAGTGCACTGTCACTCTAATACATCTGGCCTTTTCATGACTGGCTGAAGCCATAGCACATGAAACAAACACCGTAAATCCATAGCCCACACACTGCTATGGGCTTCCTTATCTATTTAAGAAGAGTACAGAGAGAATTAATAGTTATGAAGATGATCTTTAGATGAAACAATATTATATAATGCAGGAAAAAAGAACAAAAAGTTTAGGGACTAACCCATATCAATACTTGTTATTCAGTTTTTCCACAGAGAAGCAAAATGATCACCATCATTGAGCAAACCAGTGGTAGCAATGGGAACAGAAGTCCTGTGGATCAGGTTTAACCAAGCTACAAATGGCAGAATGGAAGAACTGGACCACACCTTGACTCATGCTCATGCTTTATTAAATCACAGTATAACTAAACCATAGTCAGAGTTTAAACTTTGGAGAGGGACACACACCAGCATAGTCTTCTAACACATCTCAGCAAGCTGTTGCATATTTCCCATCTTCCTTTTAGAAACAACTGCACACAAACCTGCTAAATACGACTGCAATACGACCAAATTTTGACTGATGACAAAGGTCAGAAGCATTCCCAGACATTGTCATTCCAAATTGGTACAGACTCAAATATCCACCAAAGTAACTACTGGCATCTGAAATCAACCATGATACTGTCATGGCTTGGTCACATACAGCAGCTGAAAAAGACTTACTTCCTCATATTTGTCTAGATTATAAAAGCACTAAGTGTTGGGAGCCCAGTAATAGTGTTAATTAACTCTTGTTAAGTCCAGGCTGAGAACTTCAGCAGTGTTGGGAACAAGAAAATCCCAATAATCTCTCCCTCAAATCCAATAAAACTCTTTTTCCGAGTAAGGCAACAGGAAGGATGTCAGTGTTCAGTGCACTACATAGGCCTAGTCTATTTTACGGATGAGAAACTGAGAAGAAATGCTAGATTACTACTACAAACTACAGCTAGGCCACATAACTAGTAAGTTACTGCCTATAATTTACATTATCGACCGGCGAGTCCCGAAGGCAAGACTCCATATGCTTGCAAACTATACAATATAACCCCCACTTGCCCAGGACGCGCAGAGCAGGAGGGAGGAAGCCGGGACGCTCCTGACAGGGACGGCTCCCAAGCACTTCAGCTCCTGGGCAAGCTCAGCTTGAGCGTTTTGCTGTTTGCTTTTGTGTTTTTGCCCCTCCCCTCTTTCTCTTCAACGAAGCTTGCAACCCCTTCTAACAGCCAGAAAGTCTCAGAGGCTGCGAGCTAGCCCTGAAGGCCCCTTGCTCCGGAGAGCCCGGCGCAGGGCCCAGCCGCGCTACCACAGGACAGCAGACCCACCCGACGGAAAGGCCACCGCCCAGCGCCCCCCTTGCTCACAGCGCTCCCCTCCCAGACCTAAAGCTCCCCACGGCCCTCCACCGGCGCCGTGCTGCGCGAGGGCGGCTGTCCCCACGGGCAGCCACCCCCGGCCCGGTCGGCGGCTCCTGACTGA